ATTATTACTTGATATAATAATATAACTTTTTCCATTACAGAAATATGGAAAAATCTAATTACATATATGTTTTTTTAATAATGGTAATGCCAATAGTATTGTCTACTCCATTATTAACCACAAGTGAGAGTATTCTCGAAAAAGCATCAATAGAATCAATCATAGCACCATACATAGAACCTAATAGACTGGACAAAATAGATATAAATGTTTTTTTAGAAACACCAAGCTCTTTTTTCCAGATGAAGAAAATCAAAAATATCTTTAAATCAATTCTCGATATTTTCAATAATGTTAAAGAGCCAACAATCTCTGAAACTTTCGAGGAAATTACTTCTCAGATACATTCTGTTATTAATAAACTCAATAAAACTGGAATAAATCTTTATGATGAATCAAACATTTATACTGTCAGTAAGATTATAAATTCTAGATTACAAGGAAGTTGTGAAAACTTGAAAATATTGTCGAATTTAATCGATAATATTAATTACTTATTCAAAAATCACTATCTCGAATACTTAGATAGACATACTTCAAATGCTTCATTAAACGTTTTTATCTCAAAAGCAATGAGCTTAGATGCTGATGGTCCAGGAAAAAGTGCATTCATGATTGAGAAAATTCTTTATTCTAATGTAGATGGTTCATTAGATAGTAAATTTTTGGAAATGATTATCACTGAGATAAATGTAAGTATTTCATGTATTTAGTAAATCATTTCATTTTATTGTTTCTTTTTGTAAAATTATAAAAATTTTTGGTTTTAGAATGAAAAAACAACATTATGTTCAATTCGTCAAACTCAGCAACAACTTATATACAACTTATATTATTTATTCGCAACAACCGAGTTGAAAGCATATATCATGGTTGTTTCAGCTTATAAATTATACGCTATAACATTAAATGGTAATTTATTTATTTATTTTTTATATAAAATGAGCATAAAATTGGTGATAACATGTGAACTTTTTTCAAGATAATTACATCAAAGATTTTGAACGGGTTCAAGCTGAACATTTAGAAAGGATAAAAAATTATCTAATAATATTCCGTGATGCTATTGATAAATCTTCGATTGAAATGATCGTTTGTTCGAAAAAGTTTGAGATGGAAAATATTGCAACCCAGGTCAAAGCTATTAACAAGTTACCTAAAGAAAGTGATTACTCCAATAACAAGTTCAGTATAAAGGCTATTATTATTATGTACGGAATAAATTTTAGTAAACGGAAAGAAAGATAAACTTTGAAAATATTATTAATTTTTCAGGGTAGTAACTGGTGTACGATTCGTAATTAAGAACGAAATACTCCATCTGCAGATAGAGGAAGGTAAATTAATTCCAAATGGGCAAATATTATCAGGTAGTGAAGAATGGATACCCATTGATGATATGAATTACGCTGATCGTACAATTTATCGGAATGGACATTTTGCAAGAATGCATCAATGTATCGAATATCATTCTGTTACTTCAACAGATTACTGGCATCTTAGTGACGTAATAGCTTCACCGAATTTCATTGTTATTGGTATTAATACGTCGTAATTTTTTTGCTCTTTCTGTTTCGTATGACTGAGGAATAATTTTGCCAATGAATTTTCTATTTATGAAATAACATATTTTATAATCATAAACATGAATTCATTTTCATAAATGATTATTGCAGGTGCCAATTTAGAAGTTTATACATCAGAATCAATCAACAGTAAAATCATTTATCTCAGACTAAAATTCGCAAAAGTTAATATCACAACAGCTCAATTAAATGTCAGCCAAGAACGATACAGCGATGATTTAGAAACTTTTCCTGCAGAATTCAAGTAAATTTTTAGAATTGAAGTCTAATATCCAAATTTTGAAAGAATTATTGATAATTATTTTATTTTTTAGTAATCAGGACTTAAACAACGATGCTAAATATGTTTATCTTAGAGAAGTAGATACAAACTCATATGACTATATAGATCCTTATCAACAAAGACGTACTAAAAAAGGTCCCTTTATTGATTTACAAGCAATTTATGGGAACCCGAGATATCCTCTTATGGGTATTGGCACTTTTAATGAAGAGTCTATGGAAAATAATATTATTTCATTGAAAGCTTTTGTTTTCAATTTTTCATCCCTTGTGGATATCAATTGATAATTATGACTCATGACAGAATATATATTTTTTTGTATGATGAACTAATAAATATTTTGGAAATTTAACAAAAAATTATTTAACTGTTAAAAGAGTTTTGACTTTTCAATTATATTTTTATGCTTTAATGTATAAGAATTTTTTAATTATATAATGTATTTTATACTTTTATATTATGTTATTAATTAATGAAAGACAATATTCTTATCATTGGTTAAATGCTTTATATAATATAATATAGAGTATCACTATAAATTGGCAATTCTGTTTTTATTCCCAAGAAAAATTTTCCTGGATGGAAAATTATGAATAAATTCTTTTTGGCATAATAACAATAATGAGCGAGTTATGTAAAAAAACATCACTTTACAATTTAATTATTAGTTTATGGAAAAGATCTATAATTAAATTGACATTTTTGCATGCATTTCAATTTATTTTTATAAATTTTCTATATAATTATATAAATCATCATTAGTACTGTTCCTTCTTTCTGGTTCTTTTATTTATATAAAAATATAAATAAACATTCAAAATGCGCATACTTATCTGGTACAGACAGCACCATTTTTACTTTTTTTTAGTGGCATCAGAGAGAAAGTATTGGAAATGGGCATAACCATACTCTATAATAAGCAAAGAGCACGGTAGACATAGCTCTTTACATCGGATCGAGTCAACAATTCTTTACCTAATGAAATTCGTTTTCTTATAATAAAGCATTGTGAGAAGATAGAAAATATAATTTTAATTGAAATATTCATATACAATTTAATTATATTAATTAATACATATCGTATAGTAGAATCTCTCAGAGGTCCGATTTCAACAAATTTTTTGCGGATTAACTCGTTTTAATTCTTACTTCAAAGTATTTGGATACATTGTTGGCTCAAGTTTGTACTACATTTATTATGCTCTCAAAGGTTCGAGAATTTCAAATTGTCGGACCTTCGAGGGAGTTTACTGTATTTATAATTTAAGAAATAAGTTATCGAAACTTGATAAATGAATTTACTGTAATCAATTGTCTCTCTTTATTATTAAGTCGACGTAAATATAAAATTGCATGTCACGTAAATTAAAAGTTCTTTTCGTTTTAATGAAAGCGAGCACTTAAAAATCAAATGTTTTTCTTTTATTTCTCGAATGAGAAACAGAATAATACTCAGAATGACTATTAAGTCTAGAGTTGATGATCCATTTTTGAAAGGGTTTCGGTCGATTAATTTTGACTAAAATTTGTTAATCATGTTGTATTTATATTTTTATATATTTTTTATTCAAAATGATATATAAAATAGATTTTTATCAAACTGATGAATTAAGTGAACTCATCGAATAAAATTTTAATATTTTTATAAAGTTTTATTCTTCAACTTGAATATAAAATTACAAAAATTACAAGGCAATTAATGTCTTATGTTGATTCATTAAATTATTTTTTATTTATTTACAATACAATTAATTGTGATTGGAAAACTAGCTAAAAACTATTGCATCCTTAGCAACAAGTTGTTACTGTCGTGTGCCTTGCCACGAGTACCCTGTAATCAACAAGTGACTCCCGTTTTCTTGCCACGGAATTTCTGTATGATTCCTACATAATTCTTTTAGATCTACAGGTGGTAAGAAATTTCAATTCCACAATTCTGATAAATTTAAGTACATAAAAAATGCATGCTTATTAATTTATTTAATTTTACTCCCATTTGGAACAATTTGAAACAAATTATAAGAAAATTTAAAAAAGACATTTAATTCTAGTCACGTTATAATTGCATTAGAGCTCTTGTTTTTTATCCTGGCAGTATAGTTGACGAATAGCTTAAAAAGATAAAAAAAGATAATTATTTTTTGACCTTACAGAAAAATCTGAAAAATTGGGATAAGCGTGACGATTGTCCTTCCTCAGCACTATGTAGTAAGAAAATGAAAAATGGTTCGGAAGCTGTGGGATTTGCGAGGGTGTCAATGGTGGTTTAATAAAGACTTCTGAGTGTAGTAGTCACGCTCATATCATGCATTCTTCAAAGTCCTGGAATTTTCTTGAAATAAAGAATAGAAGTATTAATACAATAATTTATTTATCATTTATAGAATAATAATCGACGAAAAAAACTAATATTTCAGATGAATTATCGTTTAAAATAAGATAGATATTCCAATTTGTAATCTAAAAAAATGTATCTGATATTTTTTGTTAAATTAATTCATCACATATTGATGAATACGACAATCATCTAGTAGGAAAGAGTATAGTTGAAGAAAATCCACTCGTACAGTAAATAATGAAGATAAAAAAATGAAGAGGGTTGACAAAAAAAATATTGAATGTTCATGTATGTTTTAGTACACACATATAAATCATAAGTCTATGAAAAATTTAGCTTGATTCCTTCAGAAATAATGAAAGTTCGAATCTATTGGAGCTAAAGAATTTCATTATGATACGGGTGGTAGTGGAAGACGTGCGAAAGACAGAAGGGAAGAGAAATCGAAAAAGGGTGTGGGTGATAATGGCGATACGAGGAAATAGATGTGGGCGTGGGTACAATAAAGGGGATAGGTTGTGGAAGTAAGGCTCGTACGACTTTATGAAAGTGGTGGGAAGTTGTGGACCATGCGCTTTAGCCCTGGAAGCATATCGTGGTCATGAATTGAAAGAGGAAGTTAAGAAGCTATTCGAGAGACGTAGCTGACGTTACTAGAGATTGGGCCGGTGTGCCGGCAACAACATCAGGAATGCCACGTCAGTGGTTCAAGTTTCAATTAACATCGGGAATCCTGAGGGCTAGTAGCCACAAGTTTGGTATCTGAAGACAGAAAAGATTAGCAGAAACGTGAGTCCACTGTTGGAAATTTTTTCGGTGAGTATCAATTTTTAAAAATGATCTACAATGCATGACTTTAAAATTAAAATCAAATTTCCTTTTATTTTACGAATATCTTGGTTTTTCTTTTATAATCAGTAATCATCATGATTTAATCTGTCAGAAATAAACGCATGTTCGTGACATTCTTTTGTATTTGGACATTCATACTGCGCTCTCTTTAGTTCTCATTTCCACTTGTCACCACCAGAGAGCTTTCGATGTGGACAAAGAGCGACATATAGAGGTCAAAGTGACTTTAAACAAGTTTCCCAGACAGTCGGAGGTATGAACATAAAGTTGGAAATGTTCACTGAGGTTAATACTTAATAGAGTGATGCTAATAATATTATAAAGCAATCTGTATAACTTGGTACTTTGTTACTGGATCTAGGCATCTTGTAATTGCTAGTGATAACATTATTACTAGTAAGTCAGGGTAGCACTTGAGATGGCTATCTCTCTAGGTACCTTTATTCAATTAAATTATTATTCGTTATCAGTCTTATTATTACTGTCTTTCATTTAACTTTTTGTCTTCTCAGGAGATGAGTTTTCTTTTTTTGTTTAATAGCACAGTTGCCAATGAGCATATCAATTAGGAAGCTAGTTTATGGTCCTCGAATAAAAAAAAAAACATATTCTCTTTATAAAACTTGAATGAGATTAGATTTCTACTTATACTGACACGTAGAAAATTTGTGAGTACATCAGAGAGTGAGGAAGTAGGTAAAGCAAAAGCGTTTTCCACAGTGGATAATGTAATTGACAAAGTAACTCGTTTAGAGTGCAATATCGCGCGACAAAGTGGCGAGACGGGCAGCCAAATGGATGGGTGAGAAAGAACGCAGGGAGAAAATAACCCCAACCACGGGCTAGCATATTATAGAGCTAATAACCCTATATATATAGATATATATATATATATATATATATACATGAGATACACATGGCTATTTATATATATTTATTTTTTCATATTTTTAAACTCTATTCCTATGGTAATCGTATTGTTATTTATTATCCCACTATTTGCAAATAATAATTATAGTTATGAATTTATATAAAGCACGTTGCACTTGCATAATTATTTTATTTATTCTAATTACTATTAGTCTAGAAAATTCTAATGCAAAAAAATTTTCAATTTGGATGGAATTAATTGAAAATTGTAAAGCAGTTTTACCAATTAATGATCGATAGAAAAAATAAGATATAAAGTTGTGAAAAAAAATCTTATTCATGAAATTGATTTTCTTTAAAATAAGATTAAATTTTTTGCAACACATATTTTTACTTTTAAATGAAAAAATTTTTACTATCAATGATAAGCTTCTCGAAATCATTCAAACTATATTCAACATAATCTCATATAACTGAACTAAGTTTCAATCACATTAATATAGTGATAACAGCTTTCCTTCCTTCTTCTCTTCCTATTACGACAAGAGTCTCTTAATTGACGATCTTCTTAGTTTGATCACCGGATGCAAGTTCTAGCTAAAAGATCCAGCGATCTATTCAATGAGAACGTAACTTTAAATTTGAAGATACTAATTGGACCTCTTCACTCGAAAATTAACTTCTTATTGAGTTTTGATTCACTTAGATTTCACTTAGTGTTGCAACCTCTCTAAGTTGTTTATTTTATTTACATTGTATTTTAAAATCCTCTAAAAATAATTTTTGTTTTTTATTTGAAAAACACGACAAATTTATCATATTCCTTTACTTCTACATATATTTATTCGTTTTCCTCAATCTTTAATAAAATTTATTACACATAAAAATATACATTGTGCATGGTCACGTTTGATAATAATTTTTTTTAGATGTGACGTTTGACACGATTTTTCTATTAGCTACAGTCAGCTTTTTTCTTTTCATCGTGCATTTCAGGTGTGCAAACGTTTGTACGTGATAAATTTCCTCCCTTGTTATAAAGGATCAGGATTTTAATTGTCTTATACAAAAAGTGATTCTGGCAATTACATTTATGATGCTCAACAATGAAAAATGATTAATAGTAAATCATATAAACTTGTAAAAAATTAAATCTTTAAACTTTTTTGCATTTTAAGAGTCATAATAATGGTGTTAGATATTAACATATTTTAGTTTTTAATGTTTATTCACTATTTTTAAATATACATTTCAGATACATTCCTTATTTCTAATTAAAGTTTTTTTCCAATTTGAATATTTCTGCAACTTCTAATGAGTGCTAAATTGTTATTCTATTATTTATATTTTTAAAAAGATTCGTTGATAATTAACAAACTTTTTCGCGCTTATAAAACTTTTTAAAATGAAGAGATCTCACAATCAGTATTGAGGAGGTTTAACTCCATGAGGTTTACATTAAGGATAAGGAACATCACTATAGACTTAATAGCTAACTTGAAAGCTCAAAACGAAATTCCTCGTTCGAATGAATTCTTTTTATTGATTATTTAATTGTTAAGTACAATCTTCCAGTCATTTATATTATTCTATAGAAAATAAATGGAATTCACAGTAATTTTGAACTTACTGTTGTATTTTAGGAAATTAAAAAAAATATTTATGAAAAAATAGATTCAGATACTGACAATCAATAGCTAGAAGAGTTTTATATGGTACTGAAGATTGTTCAACTATTTTGTCAATATCGGACATAACTCTACATTGTAAATCCTGCAAATCTTAGAGTTCTTTTTTTTTAATTTTTACTCAAATGTTCGCAATTACCCTATTTTCGCAATATATTGATACCTTTGCGACAATAGTCGTAACTATGACAAGAACAATAATATTTGTATAAACAATATATATTTATAGGACAAAATGTATTTATGCTCTACAAAAATCAGATGCATTAATCTTTAATAAACTTTTTTGAAAACTACAATCTGATGTAAGAATTTTGAATAGGGCTTATGTACTTTTTGATAAAATTATAAGTAACCAACGATTGAAATATAATAAAATATTTTTATTTCTTAAAATATGATTTGATCCATTAAACTAATATAAAACTCCTCCAATAAAAATTGATTTTGTATTTATAAGGAGTTTTTATTTTTTATACATTTTTTATATTTAATTATCAATTTAGTGTGTATTTATTTAGTGTATAATTTTTTCTATGGGATTTTTTGAAATTTATGTGTCTAAAGTTATGGTTTTAATAAAATTGATTAATTTCACGATTCAATGGAGGCTAAAATAAACCGGAATTCGTGTGGAATATTTTATTAAGATAGAGGATTACTTTTTTTCTTGTCTGTATTGATAATTTTTATATTAATTGAATAAAAAATAAGTGAAAGCACTTACATCTACTTGAAACCTGTCGATTGCAAGCTACAAATGTCAATCGACCGTAGCTACTTGAATTCGACGGCCCTCAACAACCTGTTGTCATTCTGATTGTGTTGGTGTTGATTTCACGCAAAATTATATATTTATTAAATAATGGAAAAAGTTATCACAATTGTTATTTAAAATATGTTGAATAAATAGTTTAATCAATAATCGGTCCTTAGAAAAAAATTAAATGATAAAAATGAGAGAAAACAAGAATGAAATCATCAAAATGTTAATCTTTTGAATCAGTACTCGAGAAGTAAGTTCTCAATAAATAAAGTCAGTCATTCTTCTTATAATTACTAAGTAGAGACGTGGAATTGAAGAGTTTTCTCGTGAACGTAAGAGAAATTACAAGAGAAAGGAATAGTGAAGGTATTTTTCTTCGTCTCTATACATAGATACTTTTTTCTCTTTCTCACTTTCGATTCTCTTTTCGAGAAAATAATGCTTCCACCCCAGGGATTGTGTTCTCAAGAAAATGCTGATTGACTTCCTTTACTATTAATCCTCTTCTTTTACTGCCTCTTGTTAATATCAATAATTCATAATTATTAAAAAGAGTTGATGTAAAGTATTCATTTTCTAAATGAACTATAACGTGAAAAAATATGTTACTTTTTTGTGTGCACTTATCTGAGAAGAAATATTACACTTTGTACCAATCAATTATTCTAAACGGCGATGAAAAGTATTTTAGAAAAATGCACCTTAATAATGTGAGATAAAAATATAGATTGTCATAAAAGAATATATTCTACCAAATGAGAATAAAATATGGAAAAATACAGTTACAAAGACCAAATTTTTTTTAGTTATGGGGTACATTAAAGATGATTAATAATTCATTTTAATTTATAGAAGAAAAGCTCCACGTGTCAGCCATATATTGAATTTTTTCAACGACGAACAGGCGTGAGTCCGCGAAAAGTGCAGGAAATTGTGGTGAAAAGTAAAAGGCAATTTTCAGCCTTTAAGAAAAATGTAAAAACCCGAGATTACTTGAAAACTCGGAAAATGATTTCCGCAAATTTTATCTTTTTTTTTACACATTGACCAAGAAAAATGCGTCACAATGTCGTTAAGATTCTACGTAAAATCTCTTTCTTTTTAATGCTACCATAGAAGGTAATTAAATTGACTTTTGAATTACAAGGGGATAGGCAGTAAATGAAATATTCTGTATTGAGAAAGAAAATTTTAGTTGATCAAATTTTATTATTTTTTGTGATTTATTAAAAAATTTTTATTATTAAATTAATAATCATATTCTAAATAATTCAATTGATTTAAACCATTTGATAATAGTTTCTTTCAGTAGTTAGAGTAGCGATCCCAACAATAAAAGTAGAATGATGGCCGAGGGAACATGGAGCAACTGGCTTCAACGTTGCCGAGAATCTCGGAAGCTCGTTTTAGTGATAGTAGCAATTGCACTCCTTCTAGACAATATGTTACTCACTACTGTTGGTAAGTAATATTAACTTTTTTTTGTTATGTATCATTCATTATTGTCATAACACATTTTTAGTGAAAGTTTAAGAAAGGCATTTTTCCAGAGTTTCTTACATACATTAGCTTCAGTTTCTGTTAGTAGGTCAAGAGTACTTAGTTTTTTTAGATCTTTCCAACTGCCTTTTGAAATAAAGAAATAATTATTTAAAATCATTGACATCTAAAAAATGAAAAGTTTATATGTTCTAATTTATTTACATACACAGCACCCAGTGTAAATTTAATAATCAAATAAATTTGTACCGTCACTATATTGAAGACTACATTTTTATTTTTGTTGAAATCTTGAGAAATTGCCAATCGTATTAGGAACTGTAAAGGCATGTACAACGTCTATGTATTATAAATCGATGTCTTTCTCTCCTGAGGAAAGAACGGAGATTTGCTTGGATTAGATGAGATCCTTCTTTGAGTCATGATCAATTGAATGTCGAAGACCCCGTCAATTTATTGATCATAAAGAAAACGGGAGTCAACAAATTGGATAGATATATTCTTTATAAATTGACTTATTTTATTTTAAATTTTTAGATTAACTTCTAGCTAAAATGATCATACATTCAGCATATATTTATGATTGATGTCAATAAGTATGCATTATATTTTAAACAAATTGTTTGATTTTAGTTACTCGGGAAATTGAAAAAAAAAATTTATCCTATACGTATTATATATTTATATTGAATAGCCAGAAAGCAGTTTACAAATAGAGTGATTCATTTTTTCTCTTATGTATATTTTATTTTACATTTATTCAATACATCTATCAAAACAATTAAATTTGTTTAAAAAGATGAATAATAATAGAACTTTAAATAAACTCATCATATATATAAACTCTTTATTAAACTTCCAAGTCACACTTATTTTTGTTAAATTCATTTAAATTGTTTGGATCATTAACAGTTCAACAAATACGATTTAAATTAAATTTACTTGAGAAAGCTTCTTCTATCATAAGCTTATTGTTGGAATGTTTTTTCATGTGTGTATTCGATGATATCACTATTAATATTGTTCACTTTCATTTATCACATCAACAATCGATATTTTTAGCAATAATCTTTTTCAATTAGGACAATCTACGTCATAAGAAATTTTTTCATGCGTCCCAATTTTTGTATTGTTACATTTATATTTCCTTCATAATTTCGATTTTTATTGTATCACTTATACATCTATGTTTGTAAGTAGAATATTTATTGTAGTTTAAAGATAGAAATAAAAACCATTTGATTAATTCTAAAAGAAAATTTTATTACATAAAAAGGCTTTTGTACTTACTGTACAAAGTTATTTAGTCAATAGTAGAAATAGCAGCTTCAGATAAGCTCTCCAGCTATGAAGGAATTGATGGAAGTATTGTGAAGTGTAACACACGTGTGGTCAATCATTTAGTTCCAGCTTTTAACTCTCCACATCGTTGCTCCCTACTACCATTTTTCTCCCTCGTATAATCTTTAATTCAATACCTACTCATTCATGGTGTATGAGATTCACCCCCAAGTGCTATAAGAGAAGAATAGTAATCATGTGTCAAGAATATACCAATCCTGATAAGTGGTCATGCATTTATGGAAAATGTAATGTAGTATTTTTCTTTATTCACTGTCAATTTAGAATTATCCAAAATAAAATATACGAACTATCAATGGAGAGGATAATAACATAGTTAAGTTAATTGAATCGGATGATTATTTAGTTTATTCTTCATCTAAAAAATTTTTAATCTTAATCTTCTTAATGTGAAAAAAATGCACAAAACTTCCATTTGATTTATAAATACTGTCAACATACGATAAATCTTTGAAGAAGTGATTAAGTATTGGTTTTTTTGTTTACTTTTCTCGAATTTTATTACATCAAAAAACTTAGATATTTAATATGTTCTTGAAATATGTACTATATTATAGATATAAATAAAAATTAAATCCCTTGAAATATGCAGGACAATCAATTCTAGATTTTTTCTTTCAATTCGATTTACTTCGAGGAGGATTTACTATAGCTTTATGTTCGAATAAAAAAAATGTTAAAAAGATTTATTCGAGATTAATCAGAAAAGTTAATTAGAAACTACTTACAGGCCTTAGCTATTATTTATTATTTAATTTTTTTCCCAATTGTAGTTCCGATAATTCCGGAATTTCTCTACGACATCAAACATCCAAATGCAACGTTAAGTGAACATCTTGAAGGAGGACATCATGTAACTAATCCAACAACGATGATTCCTATTATTAAAACGACTCCATTTACTCCAGCTAAATGCACATGTCCTTCATCTAATGTTTCTGATAACAGTCCACTAGAATTTCTTCAAGCGACAAAAAATCCTACATCTGTCAGTGCACTTGGTAGGCATAATTGAAAGAATTTTAAACTATAGTTATTTGTTTTCATAAATTTTTATTGATATTACAACAAAAATAATGATATTATCATGGTAAAATGTTATCAAGGTCTAACGGTGAATACATCAAGTGTTAATATTACAACCAAAGAAGAGCTTGAAAGACTCCAGAGACATCATGAACTATTGGAAGAGACTACAGCAGTAGGCATCATGTTTGCTTCGAAAGCATTTGTTCAATTACTGGCAAATCCTATTGTAGGACCTCTGACACATAAGTAAGTGTTAACGTAATTTTATGTACTACTAAAATTTTCTTTATAATTTGATAAATTTCCTAAAACAAACAATTTGTATCACTAATAAAAATTTTATAATTAAATTTAGCTATAAAATTTTATTATAAACATTTCAGAATTGGTTATAGTGTTCCTATGTTTGCTGGTTTCATTATTATGTTTATATCAACTCTCATCTTCGCATTTGGTCGAAGCTATAGTATTTTATTTTTGGCCCGGGCTCTACAAGGTGTTGGTTCATCGTGTTCTACAGTTTCTGGTATTAATTAAATACTCAATAAGCTTCATAATAATAAATAACTTACATCATAATCAATAATTCAACTTATTTACTAGTATAAGTGAATAAAAAAAAAATTGATGAACAAATTTTATTTAAGGCATGGGAATGTTAGCTGATCGATATCAAGATGATAAAGAAAGTGGTAATGCAATGGGTATTGCATTGGGAGGACTGGCTTTAGGGGTTTTAATAGGGCCACCTTTGGAGGGTTGATGTATGAATTTGTTGGCAAATCAGCTCCATTCCTGGTTTTATCAGTATTAGCTCTTGGCGATGGATGTACGTAACATGATTAATAATTTATTCAATTTCATTATTTAATAAGAAAATTAATATTTAATTTAAAAAATCTCCCCCTCCCCCCTTCCCACACAAAACTACAGCTTATAAATAATAACATGACTTCACTTTCAGTATTACAATTGTTAATGTTACAACCATCCGTTGTTTACACTGAAACAACATCACCATCGCTAAAAGCTTTGATTTCGGATCCTTACATCATTATAGCTGCAGGTATAATATAAAAAATCATTGTAAATGCACGATTTTTCCTTTCCTTTATTTTGTTGGGATGTTCAATTTTTTTTAGGTGCTATCACATTTGCTAATATGGGGATCGCTATGTTGGGAACCAAGTCTACCCATTTGGATGATGGATACTATGGGAGCTAGTCGATGGAAACAAGGTGCTACTTTTTTGCCTGCCAGTATTAGTTATCTGATCGGAACAAATCTCTTCGGTCCACTTGGACATCGAATGGGAAGGTGAAATTTATATTTTCAATTTTCTACAGTAAACGCATGATCGATCATCTAACATTACATGAATTATTATTTTAGATGGTTAGCATCATTAATTGGGTTACTCGTGATTGGAGTATGTTTAATGAGTGTAAGTACTTACTTGTGAAATTACTTGGATCGATGACACATAAAATTTATTTATCTCCATTATTTTGTAAATTTTAATGAGTTTTATTCAATAAAAAATTAATTTTATTTTTTTTAGATACCGTTAGCCACAAGTATTAATCATCTTATCATTCCAAACGCCGGATTAGGTTTTGCGATTGGTATGGTTGACAGTTCAATGATGCCCGAGTTAGGCTATTTAGTTGATATAAGGCATACAGCGGTTTATGGAAGTGTATATGCCATTGGAGATGTTGCGTTTTGTTTGGGTTTTGTTATTGGTAAGCATCGATTATAGACTTTTGTTTTAGATAACATTCCTATGATTATATGTTTCAAAAAAATGTTTAATTTGTAAGGCAAATGGTGTATTATTATAGTAAATGATCAAATGTTACATGCAGAAGTTTATGATTGAGAAATCCATTTTAGGTCCTGCATTAAGCGGAACGTTAGTCAACAGTATTGGATTTGCATGGATGTTATTTGGAACTGCAATTTTGTGCTTCATTTACGCTCCTCTCATGTATCTACTCAAATCACCTCCTACAAAAGAAGAAAAAAAGGTAACAAATTATATCGTGAGTCATTTTATCTTAAAAATGATTCAAATAAATATACTTTTCGTTTAATTTTATATTTTCAGTCCCTTATTATTGGGGAGAAGTCATCAGTTCGGTACGTTACTTATGAAAATGAGGAAGATGAACCGTAGGAATCATTTTTTGTTTCCAATATATTCGATCACCACTAGATGAAAAATTAAGTAGATGTATTTAGAACCTTTAGTATATATATTCAAAATTCTTTAAATTCAAAGAAACTTTTAATAAGTTTCTATGTTGAATAATGTTTATTCATTTATATAAATGAATGGATATTTGAGATTAATCATCAAAAATATTAGATATATTGTTTAATAAATTAATGTCCGGAATTCCATCTCTTGAGGCTTAAAAAAAATTACCAATGACAATTGTTCTGTTTTGTAGATAGAAATATTGTATGGTCATATTAATTAATTTTATTCATAGGAATATTCTGAAAGTATTTTTGTTGAAAAATATGCATGATGCATGTTACAAGCTACGTGTACCACTTGTAATATAATTGATTGAAAGAAAATGAACTTAATAGTTACATTAAAATATCTATACTAGATCGACAACAACGACCAAAGTGGAGATAGACGTGAGGATAACTTTTGTTACACAACAAGTGAATTATTTATCATTGGAAATATTTAAACTATTTCTGTTATGCTTTATTAAAAAAAAAATAATGTTGTACATTAAAACTATGGATTTAATATTGAAACTACTTATGTTTTTAGACATCATTTTACTAAAATTAATTTACTTCAATATTTATAATATTGGAATAGTATAAATATTTATTAAAAATCGAAAGAAGAAAAGATAATGGACAATAGCGTTATTTAAATGATTATATAAAGTTACAAAAAGTGTATAATTAAATAATGATGAATTTCGGATGCAGAAAAGTATTTAAATTGTTTGATATTAGGTATAATAGTCATGATGATGTGTGGATATAATTAATAGTGAATGTTAATTTTATTGAAAGTAGTAGAATTTTTTCCTCAAAATTTTATGAACAAAATTTTCAATTCGGAGAGCCCCCTAGAAAGAATTTTCTGAATGGCTGCAGAGAATTCGTAATGTAAAGAAAAGCTAGGGATGATGAAGAGCTTTCCAAACTTTTGGCATTTAAAGTCTTAAAATTTCGAAGATTCGAATTATATAATGAAGGAACAGAATGTTCATAAAAATTGTACTACTTTCAATAATATATTTGAATGTGATAATGGAATAATTATTTTTCCAAGAGATGGTAAAAAATGTTGAAAGAATATCACACAGTGTAGTCAGAATGAGATGTTTATCAATGTTTCGCGATTAAAGTGAAATAATAAAACGGTTAAACATAATGAATTCGCGGTTGAAATCTACTACATGAGTGTTTAGTAGTTTATTGTTAAGAAAAAAAATGATCAAAAATGGAACCGTAAATAGAAAATTCGTAGAAGCAATACAAAGTTCATTATTCATATATAATTAATCTTCAGATGCTTCGACCAACTATATTAAGAAAATTTGAAATTTTATTCTGGATGTTTATGAATCTTAAATGTCTATTTCAAAGATACTTATATCATAGAGTAAACGATTCACAAATCAACAAAAAATATTTATAAAATACTGTCGTTGTTACTGTCATGTATTTATTGAATAGGAAAAATATAGTAAAAATCTCAAGATATCGCGTTCAGATCCTAAATTATACGAATTAAAAACTTTGAAGAATGTTGATGCGCAAAACGAGGTCTGGCTTTTACCCTTTACATATTAAAGCGGGTTGATTATAGGCATGAGTAAAATTTTGATGGTTAAACTATTTATTCGTAGGTTTAATCTAAGTGTTTGATGGAAAAAATCATATATTAAATATCGCCGTATTAGGTGTTATTTAAAATATTAATAGAAATTAATGGTGTTTACTGTTTCAATGTTTTAGGATAGAATATAGTAGGTTCCATTAAAAATATTTAGGAAGAAACTATATAATCTTTACATAGTTTAATATCAGATTTTTATCGCGAATTTAGGCTTCCAGAGGCCTACTCCTTATGAATAAGACGAGTCAATTTGAAAAAAATTATCGAATTACTAATTATTCGATATTAATGGATTTAATGAGATTTTGATAAACATCTACGGTACATTGTGTGATATAAGTTGAAGGGTTGAAATGATTAATCAGAACAGACTTTGAAATAGTATAAGAAATTTCCTTAAAAGGACTCTTAGATGATAGATTATACATAATTGTCATAGCAAACCTATATTTATATCAATGTTCGCAGTTGTATTTGATAAGTACAAGTGTTTGTTTCAATCAGTAAATATTGTAATCAGTAATCAGTTTTTAATTTCTTTATTTCATATTCTATCATATTTTCTATTCATGTATATGTGATGATTTGAATTTTATTTACACTTGTATATCGATACAAAGAGCGAGCAAATACTGGAAAACTGTTGTTTTACCTCAATCAGCATCGCCATATGCCGATGTATGTTTGAATTGCCAATGCAATCACAGAATGTAAAAACATAAAGAAGTATATTTATAAATTATATTATGAATTACGTATTGATGATAAATGCGAATAACAACGAAAACTATTATTATGTTTACAATAATTATCTTATGATATGAAAAAAACTTCTGATAAAAAACAAATAAAAAATATTAGGTTTAATTAAGAACATCAAATCATTGATGCAATACAAAGAAAAATTTGTTTTTTAAACGCATGTATTAATTCTCGAGCTGCTATTGTGAACAGACAATAAGCAATGACAAAGAGCTCAACTCCCGGAATCTAATGGATTGGAGTCTAGAGTTTTATTTCTTTTTTAATATTGAATATATATTAATTGAAAATACTTCACCTCATAAGAATTTTTTCCTCTCGTCATTCGTCCACATTGGCGTTAATATTTTTAGTGAAATTATTCATAATTTCATTAGATAACATAATATCACAATAGGTGATAATTTTCTTAAATAGATTATAAATCTGTCACTTCAAGTACTGTTTTAAATTTTTATCAACAGGTTTTTGCTATACATTATTAAGTATTGATAACAAAAAAAATTTATGTATTACGTTCTTACATACAAAAAAGAATTAAAAAGTTAAGAATAAGAATTTCAAAAATACATATGTATTGTATTTAAATCAATGAGCTGGTGTATGGGTCCGACATTTATCTGTTTTAAAGGAGAACAGCGAGAGAAAGATGCAATAAAAATCTTTCCGCAAATTTCTATATCTCACAATGAGTATTAAGTTTCATTGAACAGTAAAATATTATTTCTATAAATATTATTGTATTAATAAAATTTTCACGTATATCAAGAAATCGTATCTGTATTTACAATAAGCGTTCAACACACAGTAAAAATTGTGAATGTTAATTAGTATAGTATGAATAAATAAATTCAATGATATTCAGTGATCTATACATATATATATATATATGACAGGTTTAGGTTTTTAATGTCTTAAAATGTTAATTGCAAAAAGTTATTTAATAATAAAAATCATTTCGTTTGTCATTGACATTTTGAATAAGTACTACAATAATATTTCTTTTTTAAATACCTGATACATTTTATATTTTTAGTTTTTGATTATTTAAAAAATAATAAATAGAGTGCAATATTAATTAATATTGCACTCTATTTACTTTCTACAGTGTTTGGCACATTTTTAAAATAAAGAATTGAATCGGTTTTCATGAAACTTTTCTCTACTGCGAGAGACTGGAGGCACTACCTGAGGTAGCCAGGATCTGCAAACTGCTTACTTCAGGCAGGAATGTGGCGCTCCGGGGCCTTGAATCCCTCGAAAGGAGGATGATCGATTATCATCAGGGCATACTAGAGCTCCATGTCAAAACGCACTTTCCGGGATCAACTCCATTGCAAGAAACCACAAGTGAGACTGGGAAACCGCCAGGCGAGTGGTGACTTACGATCGGGTCAAATGGGCGGTCGGTACTTTTGGTCGCTACAGAAGCACGGGCACAGACGGACTATATTCGGTTCCGCTGCTAATGGGCGGCAAGCGACTATGGCTAAGGGTTAATTTTAGCAAAAGTGAACTGGTTCTATTGACAAGAGGAAGGAGGACGGATTTCCGGCCTGCATCCATCTTTGGTATACAGCTGAGCTGTTCGGAAACGATGTGCTACCTTGGAGGGACCCTAGATAGGAAGCACGAGGACAACCAGGTAAAGAAGGCCACGGTTACCTTTTGAACCTGCAGAAGAATGTTCAGCAATACATGAGGGTTGAATCCGAAAACAATTAAATGGCTGTACACAGCCATTATTATTCCCCAACTAACCTATGCTTCCATAGTATGATGGACCTCTGCTCGAAGGGCCGTTTGCAGGAGGCAGTTGAATGAGGTCTATAGAGCGGCGTTGTTAGTTATAACGGGGGCGTTGAGGACGACCCTGACCATGGGCTGCCTACTGAGCATCCCCTCAGCGGAGTTTATGGTGGAGGCGTTAGCAAAGAGGGCGGCCATCCGATACTGGCCTCAGAGGACCCCACGGGACTCAACTGCAAAAGGGTCGACCGATGCCCCAGGAAGCTGGAGTTCTCACCTGGGTATGAATTCCGCGCCAACCAAAGCGGATAAAACTGGTACTACGGGCGACGGAAATCCAAGCCCGCACCTGGGGCTGCAAAGTCGAAAAACGACATATAGAACCAGGTGTTTTCGGTTAATTGAGGTTGGACTCGTAGTGATGTGTCGCAAGGTCTTGGGCTAGATGCGTGTATCCTCGTGCCTTTCTAAAGGCGTGAGAATATCACGTCCCAAGTAACGCCGTCATTAGAAGTAGAGCCATTCCCAGAATTATGCCCTATAAAGCGAGGTACTCCAATAAAATGTCCTTCTCAGGACAGGAAAACAAGAACTGGGTATGGAGTCTTTTTCTTGGACAGACAGACCTGGATGGAGGAGGACGAGTAATCGCTTACCTCTAAGGGGCCTGTCTGGTACTTGGGTGGGCTGAAGACCAGAGGAGGAGAGGCTGGAGCTGGAATATGGTGCAGTGGACCAAAGGTGAAAGAATCCTACACTTGAGGCCGGAATGCGTCCGTTTACGCAATCCTGTTGTGCGCAATGCATATTGTGAATAGACATTGCGACGGGCAGCATTTCTATATCTGCAGTAACAGCTACGCTACTATTTTTTTTCGAAAGGAGAACATTTGAACGATTTCTGTAGACAATTAATGAATTCTTTTTGGTAAATAATGTGTCTCATAAGATCCTATAATTTATCAGTTAATGACGCCGTTTGATAAATATGATGAATATGGATTTAACCAAAAAATTCTTAGGTTGTGAATAACTTTTTTTAAGATAAATTATATTTCTATTTGATCGTTACTTTAAAGATGAGATAAGCTGGATTGTCATTTGATAGATAAATATTGATATTTTTAATTGAAATGAATAAGAATAAATGAATTTAATTTCAATTATCAAATTATATACATGTATTTGTGTGTATATGTATGTTTAAATACATCTTTTTATTTACTAATTTATGTAGTCACTAGTTCAACCAGTGAAATTTTTCTATTTTCTATAGCGTCACTGAGCAGTGCTACAAATAGTAAATATTCACATAGAATTAGTAAATAGTACTAATTTATTCTTAGAGAGCTGACATATAAATAATTATAAATTACTT